AATGATGGCGACGATGCAAGGCGAATGGTGGCAAGGCGAGGAGCAGAAGAAGCGGAAGTATTGGAAGAGGTGAGGTAGCGGCCAGGGGAGGAAGAGGAGGGCAGAGCAAGCCAGGACAGGACAGGTTTAGGACGTGGAAGACAGACAAGACAGAGAGGATAAGAGGGGGTGGGCAGTGTTGTGTGTATATGCGCTGCGCTATGCATGCAGTACGCAGTGAGGTGATTTTTCGCTCAGGCAGAGGGGAAAATGCCAGGTACGTGCAGGCTGGTAGTGCGAGCGAAGCAGCTACCTTACCTAGAAACACCTTGGGCGGAAACTAGGGTCACCACCACACAGCAAAGACCACTTCTCTCGCGTGTAGGTGAGCTGCTAATGACGGGCCGAGAAACAGGGAAAGATTCGGCGGGTTGCGGTCCAGCGTTGTAGAAGCGAGTGGTGAAGAAGGAGGAAGTGGACTGGGAAGGGGGAATGTGGTGATGACGGCACAGTACGTCGCTGAGGGGCAGGGCAGGCGGATCAAGCAAGCTCAAGGATAGTGATGATGGTGTTGTTTCTGCCTCATGGGACACGAAGTGAGAGGAATTGGATGGAGGAGGGCTGGCTAGAGGGAGAAAGGCAAGAATTACTTACAATGACTGGAAATTGTCGACGAAGGCGGGATTGTAGGAAGACAAGAAAGATGGTAGAATGAACCTTTCTCCTCTCGTGGTGCTCTCAGAGTAGTTGCGGCCGGCGGCTACAGGCAAGGTGCGTTGAAAGAGAAAGAAATGGAGCAGAGGCGATGACTGCCTGGGGGAGCTTTGGTTTGCTGGGGTGGGTGGTGGTCTGCGGGTGCGGGTGCGGTGCGGGTGGGCAGACGGGAGACAGTGCTTCTTCGGGCGGCGAAGAAGGATCGTGAGATTTGGAACCGAAGTGGTTTCGAGGACAGATGGGTGTAATGGCTGGTGGCTGATGGAGGGGAGCTTTGCGTTGAGGTATCTGTATGTTGGAGACGACGAAAGTCGAGGCGAAATGCCAGTTGAAGGTGAGAAGAGGAAGAGCAATGCACGGGGGGGTGAGAGGTTTGGTGAAGTTCAGGTTAGGTACCCAAGAGGTGGGAGAAGGAGGATGTTGTCACGCCGTTTAGAGAAACGCGAGGTGGGTTGGTTGGTGGGAAGGAGTGGTCGGTGGTGGAGACGTGGATTGAAGTAGGCAAGGTAAGGTAAGGTAAGGTATCCGTGAGGTACGAGGGAAGGCACGCCTGGCACGCCTGGCACGGCAGGGGAGAGGTAGGGAGGTACTTCGAAAGAGGGGCAGCAGCCCGCAGCCCGCAGCCCGGGGTGGATTGTGCGTCTTGGTCTTGCTCTGTGGTCTTTTGCCTTTTGGGCTTGAGGCCTCGCGGACCACACGGCAGGGCAGACTAGCGCGCGCAGCTGGACGAGGAATGACGGAGTGCGTCCCAAGTCCAGTCACTGGGACAAGGGGGGTAGCCTAGGTACCTACCTTCCTTAGGTACTGACCTTACCTGAGCCTTGGGGTGCTGAAGTATGTACATCTCAGTGCGGCACGAGGGGGAGGGGATATCAATGAAATAAAAATAAAATAAAAATGCATCAGAAAATGCATACCTAGGCAAACGAACTGAAGCTATCGTCGCCATCCATGGCAAGATGTCTCAGTACCTTTTACCTCATCATTGCTACTTGCCGCGGCTACCTCAGTACGACTCTGCCAGGATACCACATCGCCATCAACTTCACGTTTGACAATTCTCCTCGGCCCACTATCAAGTTATGTTCAATTAGACGCCCCTCATGATACATCTTGCACGGACTCTGGTTCCCGGCCTTCCTTCTCTTCATCCGCCTTCTTCGCGATACCCTCATTCTCAGTGTGACTGCCTAGTGTCTGATTTGCTCGCAATTTAATGACTGAACAGAGCACACGCTCAACACAATGTGGTGTCTACGGTGACAGTTCGAACGACGTTAAACAGGCAAGTCACTAGAGTATTCTCAGGCTGGTCAACACCATGGACTCCCGCAAGACTGCTTCCTCAAGGTTGTCGGGCCTATCCCACAAAGCAACAGACAAAGTACCTAAAGCGGCTCCCAGAAGTGGCAACAAGAGATCCCAGCTTGATCGTCTGAACCACACTCGAGATTGAACGTTGACCCGAATAGACAGTAAGATATCGAATGCCATGCAACTGTCCATACACAATGGAAACGACATTATTAGTCGAAGCAAGTGATGTAGTCCAGGACATGTCGCCGAGAACGTGAGGGTACACTACGGTTCTCGAAGGAGCAGACCACCCGGGATCCAGAGAGGGGCCGTGCTCAAGGTGCCGGAAAGTAGCTCAAGGTTGCGTGCGGTTCGGGAGAGAACCGCAGCACTTCATTACTGAAGAGCTTCCAAACTTTGGCATTGAGGGATGTTGCGTTGCAGAGCCAGATGGGTATGGTTTTGTCGAGTCTCGACGCAAGTCAAACTTGAGATGATCTACGCACGACACGCTGCTTTTGCTCGAGGCAGGTTGGAAAGACAACAGAGCCGGACAACAACAGGTAATAAGTGATGAGCAGCCTGCAATGAACGAGCTCTGGTCCAAAGATACAGCATGCAGTCGCCCAGGAAAGCCGCGAGAAAGTACTCAAGTATCCATCCGTAAACAGTTCAAAGTAGGTAGGTAGGTAGGTACCTTACGTTTGGCACCCAACCCTGGGACTTGATCGACCAGGAAGAGTGCCGCTACGCAGCAAAACACTAACGGCAGAATCAGCAACTCAAGTCGATAAATCTGCCCGCCCACAACGGGTAGAGAGCAGATCAAATGGATGTCGATTTCTTCTGTGCTGTTGTCTATCTTCCGTTGACAAACCCATCGAGTCTACCTTGTTACAGAGTGCCTAATGTAGAGTCCAGGCTGAGTCCAGAGCTCTGGTGAGGTGGGGACCAAGCACCGGCGGGACACGCAGTTCGAATGGCTCCAGGTTAGCCTTTCATTGTCGTCCCCTCGTCGTCTCCAGACAAGGACCCGCTGCACCAGGCTTGCTCATGTGCTCATTTTGAGACGGGGAGGCAGGCGCTAAAACTCGGCAAGCGGAAGTCAAAAAAGCCAATGGATGTGTACGCAGTACCTCCCTGTCTGCTCCTCCAGCTGTCAACCGGGCTTGCCTCAGTAAGGTACCTGCCGTGCTGTTTCCCAGCTGTCCAGGTCTTCCAAGCCAGCTACGAACATTTGAATACGTACTCTTCTGTCTTATTCTTCTCAATGGAAGCTAGGTACCTACCACCTAACATAGTACCTACCTCAAGTACACATGTGTCTTCCGTCATGGTAAGGTAGGTGGCACAGTAAATACCATGGCCGTTCACTCGTTCTGCCTTAGTTGATTTTATACCTTCAAGTACTCTGTACCCGACGTGGTCAGCGAGTAACTTAAGGTAAGGTAGGCACGCACGCAGGCACATGGGGTAGTATGCATCTGCGTGCCTACCTGAAGAGAAACTTGGGTTCGGACTGGGCTTCCCATTTGCAAGGAAAAGCGAAAGAAAAGAATCAATACGATACGAATCTTTTCCACACATACATCACAATCTTTAGAGTATTCACAACATCCCAATGGAACATTCGGTGCGGCTTTTGCAGACAAGCCCTAGTGGTGGAGGATGAAGAACCCAACGAGCATTTTACTTGCCTACTCACACGTACGGAGACTTTCCTTACCTAATAGGCCGGTGGTTTCTTTGAGACACCGTCGGACTGTCTGTAAGGTAGGTAAGGAGAGGTAATAGCAACTGCCCCTGCCTCCCCCAAGTATCCGTACTATCGAGCCTATCTTGCCGTGTTGCCTTAGGTTGCTTGCCTACCTTACGGATACTTCCTCAATATCTACCGTTGAGATACCGAAGCAGTCAACTCCCTTTCATCTTCTCAGCCTCCATCATGACCATAACGCTTCCATCATGTACGTGCCACAAACCCCTCTCTTCCCGGCCCTCGAGGATTGCTCATCCCACATTTGCTACCGTACCTTGGACCAAAACGGGCCGTGTCCACTAATCCGCTGTCATTCGCTAGGGTACTGCCGGGTACCTTTGGCCAGCTGACCTGCTGGGTCTTCTACGTGTATCATCCTAGTACACGACGCGCGACAACTCGATGTGATTAAGGCACGCACTACCTTAGTATCTTGCGTAGCCGGCTACCAATGCGCCTCAAGACCAACCTGCTGAGCGGCCCCGATTCTGCAGGGTCCAATAGGCACTCGCACGGTTCTTCCAACCTGACTTCAATTTCTTCCGTGGCCCGCCACGCTCCCAATGGCCCTGCCCGCCTCCTAGACGCCGCACGAGAGGTTTTGATCGTTCATTGCTTGAAGATTCGATGTTCACTATGAATCAACTAGATTTCTTAACAAGGCAGAGAACAACACATTCCCCCGGGGTAGCCATTCGTGGAAACGACATGTTACCTTTGACACAGCTGGACTCGAAGTGACAGCAACGCTTCCAGTTTGGAAGACCAAGACAGCGTCAAGACAACCGCAGAACCTTGCAGTTCATAGTCGCCACATCCGACCGCCGATGGAGGTTTTTCTACCTGCAGGATGGCAGACTCATCTACATACCACCTTAGAATGCGTTTTCTCTACATCTCAAGCAGCTTGACGGCGAATTTGGCAGTAGCTAGTTGCCAGCATTGTGTCCAGCGATTCCAGGTCCAGGAATCCAGTCTATGCTGCGGATGGCCTGGATTTGCAGAGTCCCCTGTTCTGACGGCGCTGTGGGTGGGCAAAGAGTTTTCACATCATGCTTTCTTTTATGTTGGGATTCGCCCGCCGCATATGTTCTGCACTCGAATGGAGTCCAGGACGCTCTGGTCGCCTCTGACAGTCTGTTCGGCCGTCTGGACATGCAAGAGCAGGGATGCAGTCACTGGGTTAAACCTCGCCGAGCTACGATGAAGAGGGGATGCCTGGATTGATGGGAAGGGATAAAGCTGGTGCTAGTCAATGGTCAGAGCTTCCGTGGCTTGCGGCTTGCCTTGGCGCGTGCCCTGCTGCGGGCGGCCAACAGCAGAGAAGGGGTGAGAGAAAAGGGGAAAGCAGAGGGATTTTGCGCATCTCACCGTCCATGGGATAGGCAAAGAGTCTCAGGGAAACCCAGATATGGACTTTTGGAACTTTCTCTCTCTCCAGAGTCCACGGAGACTCTTCATTTGTTGTGGCTCCGGGTTCCTGTGCTGCTGGATCCTCCCACTCCTCCTTGGATATTGCCTTGTCCCCTCTAGGGCCCAACCCCGCCAAAGAGACTTGTCCGAAAGGTCCTATGACGACGTTCCCATGTGTGGAGGAAACGGCCAAGTGCGGGGCAATGAGCCCAGCAGGAGTCCTGGTTGTGGCTCGCGTCTCGTTGAGGAGGGGCCGAGAGGGTGGAGCCTGGAGCTCGCCAATGTGAAGTTGGTGTTTCTCCAGGACCACAAAGTCGTTTACGAAGTATCGCAGCAACACTACATTAGCAAGACGGGCCAAGCACAGTACAGTAGTTGATGGAGGCACAGCATGACACCAATCCCCATGAGCGGATGCTCTTTGTGAACAACCAAGTGGAGTCATCGCACGAACCGGTTGCTATTGCCTGGGTCCGTCAACCCTTGGGCCGTGACAGCATAGTAGGATCTGCCTCCTGGTTCTGTGGCTTCCCTTGCCGGAATCGAGATGTGAGAACCGCTAGGTAGGGCCTTGCAAGCGACGTTGTCAGCTACAAGTCGACGATGAAGTTGGACGACAACGACAGCCAAAATGGCCGCACTGGATCGACAAGGGTTGGATTTGCACGCAGTGCGAGACCCAGAAGGGGCCATCAAAGCCATTGACTTTGGATGGGCATAGCTTTCATTCGTCCAACTACTCGGCGGTTGCCGCAGTCGAGCCAACACAGATTTAGTTTCGTCCAACGTCTATCTGATTGTCGCGAGCACATCGGCATTAGTACGCTACGGCTGCAAGCCACCACAACCATCTTGGTGGGCAGATGCGCTGTCACTCTTTTTAACATCCGATCATGCCAAGCGGGCAATTATAGTTGGATGTGTTATTTCCTGACGATGCCCACAGCGATGCAGTAATTGAGGTAATGACAGCTGGTCTAGTTGCGAATGCCTCATGTTGATGAAAGACTCCTACGTCATTGCACGGTCCAAGCTCCCAGCCCTGGTTTGGGGCTTGGGCTTCAACGAGGTAGAACGTGCGCCCAAAGTTTGCGGCAGCATAACAATGGCAGTCCGCAGTACGAAGTATCCGTAGTAAGGTGAGGTACTACGCAGTAAGGTACGGAGAGTCGAGAAAGGAGCACCCCGTACTCGATACTGGCTGGATAGGCAAGCTTGTTGAATCATGCAGCCAGGAAGCGCATGGGTTCTTGAGCCTCTTGACCAACATACTGGATCCAGCAAGCAACGGCGGGTCTATTTTTGTCGGCTGGCCTGCTTTTCTGGTAACTTGGAGGCAACTTGGGGTGCCTGGGAATTGTGATTTGGTGGTTACGACTCGCTGGCGCCTTTCCGGGACTCCAGCAAGGGGCCTGGGATGTGTTCTCGTCACGCCGTCACTTTGGCTCAAGGGCCCTTGTCCACGTGCTCCATATAATCGCGTGTTGCTGCCATGCTGTATCCGTAACCTGTAAGGCAGGATTCGACAATGGATCATTACCTAAGCTTTCGATGCATGTGACATGCTTCACTTTCCTGCGTAATTAGGCACTCGGTACGGAGTGCTAGAATGACGGGCAAGGTTACAAGTAGGTAGGCCAGCCGCCAGCAGCGGGCTGTCTATCATCCAATGGCAGCCCAGGGCCAGAGCTCAACGGCGGGAAGGACTAAAGGAGGGGCTCGCAAAAACAAAATTCGGTACCTAGGTACCTTCCATCCTATGGATGCAAAACTTATGAGGAAAGAATGGAACTTACCTAAGGGACTTGACTCTGGAAAGAAATAATCACATCACGGCTCGAGAGTCACGAGGAAGCGTGTCCGTACACTCTCACGACACTCTCACGACTCCGTACCTCACCGTACGAAGAGAGAACCCTCACCTGCGGACTACGGGCTTGCACCTCACCTCACCTCAGGAGTGGGCTGGCTGGTCCCTTGTGGAGGAAAGAGGAGGAGAGCGTAGTGGGCTGTGGGAACTGTTAGCAATGGTACCTCTCTAGCAGACCCCGTCCTGCGGCGCAGCCCCCCAGGGTTCGGTCTGTCTTTTTCTGGATACAAACAGGTCTCATGACCTTTCTCATGCGACGCTAATGATGGATTTTAGGTTCACCTGGACCACCAGAGGTCAGCAGCATCTGATCATTTTTCTTTATTCTTTGCCTGGCACTCTAGGCGCATCTGGCCCCAGCTCATGCTCCTGCTCCTGCTCCTGAGGTGCTCTCCTCTTTGCTGGGTATTCCCCTCCCACCCCGGTGTCAATGGTCATATTATTCAGTCCGGCGTTTCTAGCGAGGCAAGCTCGACACGACGAGCCGCAAGGGGCATTCCCCCGTGGATCGTGGCAGGTTTTATTGGCAACCACGGCCGCCGAACAGGAGCTGTATCGGTATCGTACCACGCAACGGGGAGCCTCAATAATCAGGGGACACATCTAAACCGGCCGGCACGCACGCAGCTTCCCAGGATTCAGGAAAAGGAGACTACCTAGACATTGTGAACCCACCCATGCGGGCAGCGACTCACTGTGAGACTTCTGAGTTCTCACAATTACACACACCACCCAGAAGCCGGCCAAAGGTATCTGGGTTCTTGTTACCACCTCAGCCATTGAATCAACCCAGCACAGGTTGTCAACGTCGTCAGCTTCCCTCACCAAGGGGTTCGTGTGTCTGAAGCTCCTGCTCGAGTCTCCATCGGCTCACTACACCGTCTCCAAACAGGGCCTGAGAATCGGACCAAATCTGCTACAGCAACCATGCGCCCAGCTGTTTTTCTTCGTCATCGAATGCGCAGCCTCCCATCCAGCAATGTCCACCACCCACCACACGTACGCACACCTCACACACCAGCGGTGACCCTCTTCCGTCCCGGCATCCAGTCTGCAGCCCGGTGCCCTGTCTCTGCCGAAATGAAACCTCCGAAGGAACGGGCGACGCGGGCATACGGACTAGTGACCACACGATTGACAAAAGCGCGGACCGGGGGGGGGGGGGGTTAGCCTCACATAAGCCGCAATGTGCCAAAAATTTTGCGCTGTCTTCTCTCCATGTCGCTCGCCCTGAAGGCTTTTTGGGCTGACGAGGTCAGTTCTACAACATACCTCGCCATCGCCAGTCAAGTATACCAGCAAATCCTGGCACACTGTTCTCGGGTAACGCGACGTACCTTGTCTCTTCGCCGGCCTGGCCTTCCATACGGCAAGAAGCATCATATTGAAAAGCTGTGGGCTGGCCTGACTAATACCCCCCTTCTCAGTCGCCGTGGGCGCTGGCTTGTCCCTGCAGCCGTGTCGTCGCTGCCCGGATTGGTCGGCCGATCTGGCCAATATTGTTGCCCGCCTCCGTCGAAAGAATCCGCCCCTACGGTGCGTTATTAACTGGCAACCACGAGCTCCCGTCGTCGCCCTCAAAGTCACATTCGGGTTCTCTGCGACTGGCTGATCATCGTTCGGCTACCATGGCTGGTCCGCCACCGACGCCGACTCGACCTTTGCGTTGGGTTGCCCACTTACCTTATACGTCCGATCCGATACCCTCTTCCGACCACGTGAGCCTCGAGATTTGGATTGCCTACTGCGTCCGTGTCTGCGTCTGCGTCTCTGGAAGTACACAGCTTCAATATACGGCAGTAGAGAGGCGCGCTCCGGGTCACGGACTTGTTTGACTTGCATTTAATGTCCTGCAGGCCATCTTTGGGGGAGAAGGAGTTCCATTCCTGTTGGTTGAGATGCACAGACAGAGCTTGTCGTTGGACTAAGACGTGTGCGAGTTCCCATGTCGGCCCCCTGCCACGCATCCGTTGACTGGCCTGCCAGGGGCTCCTCTGAATTCCTGAGCCGAGCGGTAATGCACTACATCTCGTCACCGCATCCCTTTCGCGGCAGCCGCATGGCTTCCAGACCTCCTGGCCATGGCATTCCAACCATCCCGCCGCCAACCTACTTAGCCTCCATCGGGAAGGGCACAGGGGCATGGGTTGAAGACGTTGCTCATGGGATGGCGCACTCAACGGACGGCAAGCGGTCCATGAAAGCCGCTCGTCGTTCGCGTGGCTGAACTCCAACGTGGCATTCTGCCGTAAAACTCAGAATTCCCGATGAAACCCTTCCAAATTACCCGTTGGAGAAAGAAAAGATATATGACAAAAGTGAAGCACGTCGATACTACAGAGTTCCAGGCATTGCAACTCAACAGGCTTCAGGTCAACGCTTGCTATCTCCGGCCTGGCCCGGTACTGCGAAATGCCACGACCGAAGCAACCGCGCAACGTACTTTTACCGTCACACGGTCGATAGATGGTGGGTCCTCAAACACTCCAAAGGACAATCTTGCGCCACAGAAAGGCCAGCCTACTGCAAGAGAGAAGGCATGTTGTCCCGTGGGCGATGTTATTCCTGCTTCCTCTCGTCACACCCTTTCTCGGTTGCGAGTGGAGAGATGTCAGTGCATCCCGACCCAACTGCAGAACAACAGACCCGGATTGCTAGCTACTTGCCGCACAGACATGAACTTGGTCAAAGCAATTTTTGCGGCTCTCACCATTGGATGGATCGTCACCAGACCTCATCCCTCAACCATGGATATGCCAAGTTGCAACGGCCGCCTGCAGCCGCAAGGGAAATCGCTGGGGTTGAGACCGCTTGGTGTGCCGAACAGTCGAATCATGCCTGGTCTTTTCGACTTCTTACCCACAAATTCTGGCCCGAATTCTCATCGGTGAGGGCCCCGGGGAAGCATCAGAGACCCATCTCGAGCGGCCGGCTAGTTACCAGGGCTGCCCGTGCCAATGGATGGGCTACAAATGCTGCCAAATGATCTGCCATTACAAACATTACACGCAAAGGTCTGATAACTTTGCTGTCGACAACATGTGACATGGAAAGATTGACCTTGATTCGAGATACCATCATACCGGTAATCTCTAGATTGAGACATTCAGTATGCAGCTCAGCTCTGGGTCACTCGCTTTGAGGCGAACGTCTTTTAATTCTTGGGGCTGTCAGTGCCAAACAAGTTCAAAGCAGCAAAACAGCGGCTCAAAGGTCGGCAAGTTTCGAGTCTTGGACTGTTTCAATACACCTTGGGCTCGCATGCTACCAATAATGGCGAGCTGCAAGTTTTAACAAACTTGTGGCTGGACTAAGGTCTTGAGATCCCTTGACGTATCTCCGACAGCCACCGAGCTATTTCGGTGTGTGTACTCCATGCACAAAGCCCGGATCATTCGGCGGCTGCTGCTTTCTCACCGACCGCCGCTAGTAAGGTGTGCGAACGCGTATCAGACGGAACGGTGCTATTCTGACAGCATGCGTCAAATGTAACTCTTCTGTAATTGTGCACGAGGCAGGACGTATTGCTGAGTGGGCCCTGCGATGCGACGGTCACTTTGATAACCTTTGGTCTTTACATACAGAAGAAGAGCAAGTCGTCTGCAGCATTTGCCGGGCAGTGTCTTTGCTCGGCAAGATCGCCAACCAGACGCCCGTCCTAAATCCCGCTTCGGTCAGATTTGCATGGGCATCTGTAAGTTTGCCTTGCCGTATTAGGTCCATGGTCTTCAGCCAGGTACGTGCATATTCACTAACTATTGAAAATTTTATCACAACTGATGGCGGCCAAGATGTTGAGGATGTACACACCAACTCGACATTGTAGCAATGCAGCAACCTCCAATGGCTCATCATCTGACGGCGATTCCAAGGCGCCTCCCTCTCTCATCTCGGATTGCCATCATCATTGACATGGGCTTGCGTATTACACGCACGAGACCCGGCATTGGCTCGCATCGTACGACACGTCGATGATCTTGTCCCTGACGAAGCATCTTGCAGAAACCAACCTGGTTTTGTTCGTGACAGATTCTCGGAGAGATCGCCAGTCCGGCCATGGGTCACAGCCAGCCAGCCCGCCACCGCAAGATCAGCTACCGGTCTGCTTGGGGAACACCTGAAGCAATCCATCTTCAATGGGTGCCTGCGAGTTGCTGTGCCTCACCTCTTTCGAGCGACCTGCATGCTGAGCTAAACCCGTATCACCACCCTCCAACCTCAACCTTGCAACGGCACGCTACATGGATGATGGCGGCATGGTTGGTCTGCTCTGGTGTTCAGAGATGTTGTGCTGCAGAGCTTTGTGTCACAACCACAGAGATGTTTCATTCACCTGCATCATCGAGTTGCCTCGGACGCCTCGCTGCAGGACACCGTCAGCCTTTCCGGAAAGCAGCTGTAGCGCCCCGTCCAGATGGTGCCAGTGACTCGTACCGATGGCATCCTGTTTCACTCGGTGTGAAATCTTCAGCTCTTTTCTCCCAACGGCCTCAATTATTCTCGGTTCTCGCACGACGACCAGGTCTTCGTTCTAGATTTATGGCCGGTTGTTTCTCTGCCAAACAACGGTGAGACCTCTGATGCGAGCGTCGTCAGGCGCGCCATGCTTGTTGTTGCGATACGAGGAGCAAAGACCAGCCCATATCGCTAGTCTGGGAGACAGAGAAGTCAGCCGGCGGCTCCCTTGACTGAATGAGATCGTTCCACGTGCTTTGAGGACTCTCCTGTCGCCGCCATCGCCGCCTCCGAGCCGCGTCTTGTCGTGGCACCTCACGGCAAGCCTTCTTACGCACGCCGCCGGTCTAAGGGCGCATCTCCCGCCCAACAGGATCGGCAGGAGGCGGATCCCGAGTTCAAAGCAGCCTCTTTGTTTTTTTTTTTCGTTTTTTTTTTTGGTCTCCCTCTCTGTCTCTCTTTCATCCGCCGATGACGGACAGGTTCTGCAGGCCCGGGAGCGCGAATGACACCAATTTTGACAGCGCAACATGTTTCAACGCCTGCATGTCTGAACGCCAGGAAAATTTTCTGTCGGTGCGCAAACGTTGACCGGCCTCTCACCGACGGGTTCTCGAGAGGGTAGTGGCGCGGTGAGATGAGACTGTCGAAGAAACTTTTTTTTCTTTTCCTTTTCTCCGGCTTCCCAACAAAAATTTCTTCTTCACTCTTTCTTCACCGCCTGGTTGTTTGACCGATTTTTTCGATTCTCCTGAACGAGACAACAGCCACCCGGCCAAAGGTGTGCCACGGCGCAGGTACGGGGTTTTTGATTTGCGGTGTTTCCAAGACAAGTGTCTGGCTAGAGTGTTGAAGCGAGTGGCCCTCTTTCTACTCACAGAAAGTCGTAGATTTCTTTTTCACGTTTTGCTACATTGCTAGGATTCTACAAATCCGTCTACGTCGTATATGCCGATTGGGATATAGATCAATGTCTCGTTGACTTGCCAAGAGAAGACGGACGCCCCCAAACGTGCTCGACTCTCTTCACTCAAGCGGGATCCAGGGGTCTGAGGTGGGCGTGGGGGGGCCCAGGGACACTGATTCGGCCCGGCAGAGTCTTGCCCCAACCCGTCCCTGGCCGGGAGTCGTCGGAGGTTTTCCTCGTCGACGGTTCACCTTCTTGTTTCGGGCCGGCCCGCGGAGGGGTCTGGGGCTTTATGGGTAGGTTTTTGATAAGACCCTGCGGTGGTGCCCATTTCAGGGCCTCCGAGTGTCGTTTACACGCTGCGGCTTACGACTCACGAGGGAAGTGTTGTGGAGTAAGTAAATACGCTTCACTCCCGGGTTTGCGCTGTCCGTCTTCCGTGTAAGCGTCGGGGAGCTGTGAGGTGCTTTCCGGTTTGTTGGAATCCCCCCTTGTCATCGAGATGTCGTGCGTTGACACTCGATGCTGTAAGCCCTTTCCTATCTGGAACCTTCCGTAAAGGGAAGGTGAGGATTTCGGAACGATATGTCCTTCATGTCTTGTGGGTTTGCCCTGAGTGTAGTCCCTAATCTCTGGTGGCGATTAGTATGAGCCGCACCCTGAGATAGACCACGATGCATATATGTAGCCCTACGTAGATCCTTCACGATGAGAGAGACAAAGCATGATACTAGTACAAAGAATTATATGATCTCTTACGGATGACGTACCAGCTTTGTCCACCTTTGCCGCCTCGAGGTTACGATACGTATGTTTATTAAGTACAATAAGGCGACGGGCGGGATAGGGTTCAAACATGACTTTATACTCGACACTATCCTCTCCACCATTCGTAGATCGCGGTATCCCCCGCTCATTTTAACAAGCTTTTTGTCGGCTTGTCATGTTCGAACAACTTGTCACTAATCATTCCTATTTGGTTTATGGGAGCAATTGCGAACAACAGCTGATTGCTGGTTCGTTCCCCGTGGTATGTTCCATTCTGATCCCAACCCGTTCTAGTTAGTGAAAAACAGCTCGTCGGCGCAATTGAAGCCAAAGGCATGTATCAATCCACTTGGTCATCCAGGCTTCGACTCCGAGAGTCGGTTCTTGTCTGGCGGGCCGTTGTCGAAGCTGTGACTCCCTTCCGTGCCCTCTTGTACGATCTTAATATGGATATATATATAGGCCGCGTTTGCACACCTGGATGTAGTATCGGCACTGTCGTGCTCAGTTGTCGGAAGACGGACTCTGGGCAGATCTCGGCCTCGGGGTAAGTGGCCACGTATAGCGAGAGGCGAAGCAATGTATCAGTCGTGGCATAGGCTCAATTTCACCTAAACCGCTCAGCATCGTATAGTTCTAGTCGTTGATTGTTCACAGGGGGGTCTATAGAAGAAGATGGTCGTTCGTGATGGTTCAAGCTGGTCCTGATATGACCCGGATCTAGGCTTTATTTTCTGATAGTTACTCGACTCTAAAGCATACAAGGCGAGGCGGACCTACGCCGGAAATCGACATGTGTCCAAACTGCGAGTTTGTGATTCGCGGAGCACGATGTTATCATTGCGTGGTGATCCCTTCGTGATGAGACTGTTTACGTAGCGGGCATTTATATATTGAGCGAACGCCTCTAGAGAAGAACAATGGGAGGTCTTTTCATGAGCCATATTGTCAACTGCTCGGTAAACATAGTAGGCCCTGAGCTCTGCAGGCTTCTTAAGCTTTCGGTCACTACAGGAAAGTACTTGAAGAGGTATGATTAAGTCTATCACTGGTTCCCTTTTACCACCAGGACGACTGGGTTTTCAGGATGGAAGGTCCAACCCGTGGGCAGCACCTTTTGTTTACTGCGCTAGCAACGGCCCACGTTCTGGAAGCTGTGAGCTCATGACGTTGAATCAATGATAGAGGCTATCTAGTAATTGCGTCTTTCGCTCACCCTTCGCTAGGAACGGCCTAAATTATATTCCAGATGAAATTCACTTATGGAAGAATCGAGAGGACGGTGGTAGTGTGTTGATGTCTAGTGAGACGACCCTCTTGATCACAATGTGATCGACGTAAACACGTGCAACCCGTTCCCATATGACCGAGGAGGACTTAACTCTCTCAGTTCGCTACCCTGAAGATGGAGACTCACTTGGGGAGTCTGTGGAGTTGTATACCGAGAGCACCTACAGCCTCTCTTTGTATAATTATTGCGCCACAAAATATCTCCCCAGAATTCAATGCCGAGCCGCCTAAAGCCGTAGCGATTAATATTTGATACTACATTAGCATCTGTCCTATAATAGTAGGAGGTAGTTAAGACAAAAGCGTGTATAGCTCTAGAGAAAGAGGGACCAGGCAGCCCCCTTGCTGATAAATGTTTTAGATAGATATAACTCAACATAAACTTTCTAGACTTTTGTACTTGTCTAATTAATCAAGGCACATGTCCAAGAAATTTAGCAACGCAATGTACGCTATTATAGATTCGTGTAGTCGTATACGAGAGGCGGCTCACGCATACGAATAGCATAGCAATGTTTGGCATACCATAGCCTCTTCCGCAGAAGCTTCTTGTACCATAACAGATACTCCAGTGAATGTTGCCATGGTATACCTCACTGACCCACGTATAGTAAACACCAGTGAAGGAAAACTACGAGGAGGCCGTTGTTGTGGTACGTGGAGGAAACGAACCGGGATCGAAGTGGTGCCTTGGTTTCGAGACTTTCACGACTTGAAGCCGCTTACAACACCCGAATAATTGAACTCATCAGTAAAGATGCAAGGGGCTTACTTGGAATGAATAAAAGTATAGGACAGGGTGTATTTCACCTAAGAAACAGTTCCTTGATGACCACCAGTACGACCGCCGCGATCCGTCGACGGTATAGACGTCTTCCTTGCCAGAAAGCAGCCCTTTAGTGAACACGCCCAATACAAGACTAATATATAAGTCAAGTAACAAACCCCTCGGAGTCATTGGCGTAATACAATCAAAGTATCCGGGTCAAAATACTATCTCTTATGACGCCATGACGTAAGACAAAAGCACTCACCTAAGAACAAAAAAGGAGTTCACCACCGGTGTGGCTACATCTCTTGGTGCTCATGCTGGGAACTTTTCTGGGGCGCTCATGCTGGGATTCGAACTCGGGTACTCGTATAAGCTAAGCCTGTCGTCGAGTAGGCTGGTTGCCGATTTTAATTGTCGACCTTTAACCATTCCACCACCCAGCCAGTTTGACCTGACCCGCCGACCTAGACGGGCACCTGCTGGCTGGTGACAGAAATGAGAGGGGGTTTATAAGCTCCTTTCCTTGGGTGTTCATCGGATGAAGGTCTGGTACGTACTGTATGTAAATTTGATGTAGGGCTAGCCAGCACCTGCCTGCCTGCTTTGCACTCATGGTCATGGATACGCGACAATCTCTGGTCCTCGTGCTCAAGAGTGAGGATGAGTTCGTGTCAATATTCTTCGTCAAGGAACGAGAATCTTCTCTGTCTACTTATCGCCAACTTTTACTGTGACTTCCAGCTCTAGGAGAGATTATTCCATGTACTATCCTCTCTCCACGCTGAAACCAAAGAAGCTACCAGGATTCCTCGAATCTTTGCTCTCATTTGCAGCCCCAGCATCCCTGTGTTAAGCAGACAAACCGGTAAGCCCGAAGTTAATGGTGACAATTGGACTTTTCATGACGCGGAAATGGACAGAGACCGAAGAGTCTGCGAAAAGAAGGCTCAAATAAAGGGAATAAAGTAGACTATAGCCATGCCGCCAATGTCAAACCCATGCGCCACAGAATCCTCAGTGCTATAATTATACACCTGCGATCCGAATCACCCGATTCATACAATCTTCAGCCATTCTGGATGAACCAACCCGGTTCGTCCATACCATAGGTCCATGCCATAGCCTCAGGAACGACTCTTCCACGAAGACCAGCCAGCCCCCGCGTCACTGACTACCTACAAAGCACCCTTCTCCCCCATTTACAGAGCAAGGTTGTAGCTATACTCATCCTCCATATTCTGGCTGATCCAAAGCACGACACTGCTCAAGCCCACGAGCGCATTCGCGACAACGTTCTCGATGCCCATGCCCAGCGCCGGCATGGCGACATCCTGCACGACAAACTTGAGCACAAAGACCGTCACGCCGCCCGCCATACCCCCGGCCAGCGCGGCGAAGCCGAGGAACAGCACGACGCGGGCCTTCCACGCGACGCCGTTGCCGCTGTACGAGAAGCTGTCGGCCGACAAACGCGCCTTCTCGACCGAGTTGATGATGAGCATGCCGAGCGAGGAGAAGATGAGGGGCAGCCAGTCGACAAAGGTGACGTGGGTGTCGGAGCCGTTGCGGGCTGACTTTGACCAGACGGCGGAGTCGAGCATGACGTAGAAGGCGATGGAGAACTGGGGGGGGTTGACGACGGTTAGCAGGGTTTCTGAATCTTCTGTTCTCATGATTTTTGGTTTTTGGGGAAGGCTTTGATAGGAAGAGGAAACCAGCTGATGTTCCTTCGCGTGCTATCTATCCTACGACACTGGCGGGTGACCATCAGGCGAGAGAAGAGGGAACAAGCTTACCAGAGCTCCGGCGCCGTAGACGCCAAAGTTACGAGCCCAAGCGCTGTTGAGCCATTCCGGCTTGCTGAACTTCCAGAGGCGCTCTTCCTCCATAGTTGCGAATGTGGTGATGGGATGGATTGGCTTATGAGGTGTAGTTGGTTTCGGAAGCGATTAGCTGAAGATAGCTCCCAGTCTGCGAATCGTTGTAGATGGATCGGGCGGGCGGGGATCTGGGCGTGTATCGTCGGGGGTGTTCTCGAGCAGTCGATGCTCTTGGAGGAGGAGAAAAGTGTCGTCGGTATATCGCCGGGGGGGGATGATTGAGCCGCGCGTGCGTTGTTCGTCGTCTGCTGTCGTCTGCTTCGGTGTAAGGCTAGGCTTGGGTGACGAAGGCACGGGCTCCGGATGTTGGTCGCCTTGACGTTGATCCGGCACAGCTGAGGCGTCACAGTCCCACTACCTCATCCCTGTCCCGGAGCTTTGCCGTTCACACGTGACCCTTGACATGTCACATGATCTTTACATCGCAAAGGTACTCGTGCATCTTGACTCTGTATATCTTAGGGAGCTAAGGGGAACGAGACAATATAGAAAAACACTCATTTCGAAAGTATGATCGAAACCGAGGAAAAGAACCTAGTCTCTCTCATATATATAGACTACCTTGGTAAATGTGTGCTGTTGCGACGCCATCAGCAAGTCAACTCATAGCTTACACCTCCAAGTCCCCTGCTTCGTACATGACTCTGCCTGCACCCGTGCTCATGAACGACATTCCATTGCTCAAGACACGGCGTGGACCCTTCCTCGTAGATCCGATCGAAGCGGAGCGGTTCATCGCCATGCTCCGGGCTCAGGTTGACCCCCGTTAACACCCCGCAAACACGAATCGGTCCCAGTAGCACGGAACACGAGGAATTGAGGGGCGCATGCCGCTGCACGCCAAACACATGCACGTAGGCGCAAAGCCTATCTAATTCATATTGACACGAGAAACAGAATACGATTTGGCCAAGGCCGTCACAGCCAACCTGTATTGAGGACTAATCCTACGCCCTTGCCTCGGAGCGCTCGAGATAAAAAGAAGTAGACAAAAGGTCCTAATAGTACACTAACAATTACCGGCACGCCTACCAATTCCAGCTTGGGATATTATCGTCCCATTTACCTCATCGAGGAGGACGTGGTCCGCAACACCCATCTCGAGACAGCCGCAAGGCTGCCCACGAAAATTGGCCGAATATGGCAGGTTGGTGCGAATGTACGTATGCCGCGCAGCTATGTCCATAGACTGCAGAAACCTCAGAATGGGCAGAGGCCCACCCGACGTATTCCGGTCCCGGCCCTTTCCAGAGAGAGCCCAAAAAGGAAGAAAAAATGAAGAAGAAAATAGACTTGGAAATAAGCCCAGCCGCCGTGTTCCCTGATGCTCGAAAAAAAAGTCTTCAATGTTGTATGACCCCCTGCGGACGTCCTCTCATAATGATTAGAGTCACGGACGCCTCAAACGCCGATGTTTTGCTGTATGACGGGCCTTGTCGCGTAACAAGACCCCGAGAATAGGGGAAACCGTATCGTCGTTCTGTCGTATCCAGTTTTGCACACCTTCTATATCTCGATCTCCTTCATCGGCTCCTCCGATACCTCAGGTTGCTTGCCGTTGGCTTTGGCGGTGCCATTCATCTTGCCAGCGGGGTTTGCGTTCTCCTTTCCTTCGCCCTCCGCAGTCTCGACGTGCGAAAGTAGCGACACGCGGGAGCCCTTGGGGGTCTCTTCGCTCGGCCGGGGAGTTTCGACTTCGACAAGCTTCGTTGGCTTGAGGCCGTTTGTCTGCAGCTCCGGCAGAGGGGTTTCCTCGGCCACTCGTGCCAGGGGGCTGGACTTGCCATAACCAGGGCGAATGGGGCTGGCAATCGGAGAAGTGCCTCCCAGTCGTTGCATTGATCTTCCTCGTTGTTCGCCATTAGGCTCGGCTGATGTCGGACTCGCGCTCGTGTACGGAGAGTTGGCGCCAGATCCAGCGGGAGATCCGGCTCTGTTAGTAGGTGCAACCGATCTGCGCTTCGCAGCTCTTCGGCCGTACTTCTGATCCATTCGCCATCGAAGAATGCCAAAGTAGGGAGGCTCAACACGTGTCTCCTTAAACTCCCGCAACTTGAGCTCGTTGGTCTCCTCATCCACAAACCACTTGCCAGACGAGAGGTCGTCCGCGACCATGGCGAGGAAGTGAGCCCAGGAGCGGGCAATGACATACTTGGTATCGTAGTCGCGACCAAAGAGAACAATCTGCCCCCATTTGCCGCTGGGACCGGGAGCGAGGTCGACAGCCAGGTTGTTTCCACCCCAATCGCGCACCAAGGGGATCCAGGCTGGGTGGGCATACGATCGCTGCACTGCGTTGGGAGGCACGCAATCCTGGCGAGCAATGAGGTCCTGACGCCAAGAGCCATTGTTTGCGGCCGCAGGAGATGCGGGTTCTCTGGAAGACGATGCCTGGTTGCTGCTGCCGAGGGCCTTGGGGAGAGCGGCAGGTCTTTGGTACGCCGCTTCGGAGAGGAATTCCTGGTTGACCTTGCGCCACTGATCCCATTCCTGAACAATCTCCTCGCAATCAAGCAACATGGAGCCGAAGATGATACCAGTAGGCATTCCCAGGCGCTCCTGGCCGTCGTGAACCATCAGTGACTCTCTCACGTCAAGGGGCAAGGAGCAGTCGAGTTGATGCTCCAGTTCGTTGAGATCGTTATCAGTACATCCCTCGCAGAGCTGGTCCCACAGCTCAGGGTAGTGCTCTTCAGCCCATGCGTCAATCTTCTTCCACGAGTGGGAAACGGGAGGGGGAGGAGGTGAGCCGTCCTGGAAAGACTGCATGGGGACGTCTCCGGGGCTCTGTAGCTCAAAGCCATCGTGCTGGCTTTCGCGGCGAGCAGATTGAGATCTCAGACCTGGGGAATAAGGCGCAGAAGGGTTGGGGCTAGTTGGTGTGTAGGGCATGCCACCGCCCTGGTAGCTGTTCTCGCGCGAGAATCTGTTATAATCGTCGGCGAAGGGAGAGGATACATCGGCGCGGGATTCGGAGGCTGTCGCGACGGAAGTAAGGATGCCGCTCTGGCGATTCAGAGGAACGTGGCGACCGGTTCGGTGAGGAGAGTCAATCGTAGAGTCTAAGGTAAGTTAGTTTTGTGACAAAGGTAGGCGTTGCAGAGGTCGTTCGGGAGGGAAAAACGTACGTCGGTCGTAGCTGGTCAGATCGTGCCAGAGAGAGCGCATAGCCGCACCGAAGCCGAACCTGTCATGGCAAAGTCAATGTCTCGGTCCTCTTAGGCGTCCCAAGAAAAGGGGACTGAACGATTGAAAGAACGGATGCCAACGTACGTGTTCGCCATGATTGGCGATAGGGCCCCTGGCCGATTTGACAAGACAATGATCCTGTTCCGGGGTTGGATAAAGAGACGCGATCGACCGGTTGCGGTTGTGGAAAAGTAAGGAAACGGCAGCGAAAGTTGGGGGGTGTTGAAGAAGTCGATTTACCCCTTTGGTCGTTGGCGTTGAGGTTAGGGGTAACGGCCGAATCGTCAAAGACAGATGACAGCAGGTGCTGGGTGGGAGTCTCCTTAATTTAGGATGCTGTGTTTTTTCCCACCGCCGTTGAGGTATTGTCGACTCGCAATGGGGTTGAAAGTGTGAAGGAGTGTTGAATTCACAACCAGCGAAAGTATGCGGTCTGAGTGGTGAATTGGGTTGTTGGAGGGAAAAAGAGGCTTCGAGGTCGGAGGCAGCGCGGTCAGGTCAGGGGCGGGCCGCGAGGGTTGGATTGTGAGGTGCCCGTGTTTATGTCTGACGGGGCGTGGAATTTTTAGAGTTGGGGACGATGGCGTAGTAAACCCGTCGCGGTCCTCGAGTGTGCCAGGCGGGTGCAGATGTTAGTGCAGTGAAGGACGGGAGGCGAGAGTGAGGTGTGCTGCAGCTCTCAGTGCGACGCAGGAGAATAAGTGGAGGCAGGTAAAATAGTGCGGTAACGATAGGTAGCTGTGCCTTGATATCTTTCTCTCTCGCTACCTCAGGGACTAAGGGCCAAGAAAGAAAAAGAGCACCTCTGATAGCGGGACTGGACAGGCAGGTATGGTAGGTGGACAGGGTTAAATTTGGAGACGTTGAGGCTTCGTCTGGTCAGTTTGGTGGATGGCGCCCGGCGTGGTTTGTGGCACTTTAGGGGAAGGAAGGAGCCCCAGTGTCAGTGTTTCCTCCCCAGTCAGTCTTGGTCGATACCTCAGGAAAAAGCGAGGATACGTGGGTATTCGTGGTAGTAAGAACGAGATGGTGGTGGATGTGGTGGGCTTCTGGGAGTGGCTTGGGGATGAGAGAGGGAGGGAAGGAGGGGGCGGACAGGCACGGGGGGTTCGAGTGAAAGTGGGACCTTCAGAACGGTTTAGGAGAGAAGGGGGACCCCTGGTCTCTCCTTTCTCATTAGACAAAATGAACCGGTGCCTTCCTTGCTCGAGCAAAACCAAAAGACTAAAAAAGCAGAGGGAGAAAAAGCAAGCAGTGCCGCGGCGACCCTGAACGGCGAGGTTACTCCAGTAAGGTACCTTGGCACAATAAGGTAGGTAGGTCTGCTGCTTCTGCGGAGTTTGCGACGAGGTGAAGCCAAGGTGAGAGGGAACGAGAGAGGACACTAGTAACGAATTGCGACGCGAAAGCGAGCGAGCGAGTGTCGGTCAGGTCGGTGAGGATGTTTCCTGTGTGATAACGAACGCTCTGGATGCGAGAGTGTGTGCAACGATAATGTAGGCAACGACTGTGGGAAGTAAGTGATTGATGGAGATGAAGATGAAGATGAGAAGGGGAGAATCAGAAAAGCACGGCTCATGTCAGGACAGGGAGAAGAAGTTGGTATTAATGGCAAACATAGTGTAGATGCTAATTATCTTTGATCTTCAGGAGCACTGCAACTACGACCTCCACTCAATGTCGTGTACAATCACAGATAGAGGTACATCCACGCTATTCGACTCCCATCACACTACTACAAGTGGTACAGCGAATACAGGGCAAGTTGCTTGGTCGTTAAATGTGCACTGACAAACTGGGTAACCCAGCCAAGTCACTGCAACGGCGGGATGGCGATGGCAAAATCAGGGTAGGATTGGCACATTGGGATGGAAGAGGGGGATGGATGGGACGGCGTTTGACGTCGTAGGACTGGCGCCAGGCTTCGAAAGACTTCATTCAAAGCTCAGCAATCTGGCAATCTGGTAAATTGGCAGAAGGGGACCCGGAGATTCGCGCGTCAAGTTGGTGCCGCCCCTTCCACGATTCACAATCAATTGGCAGACGATTTCCGGGTCTTTTGGATAGATCTTTGCCTACGAGAAACCCGCAGTACTGTAAGGTACCGTACGGAGTATACACCGTACTCGTAATTCGGGGCGGTGTTAGGAAGGGGCGAAAGGGCAACCTACATTGATGATTGATGAAGGGATGGGTGTGTAGGATGGCTTGGATTGGATCCCCTCCCCAAATTTACCATCTCTTGCAGGCGACTATTTCGTGTGCAAGGTACCTGAGGTACATACCTTTTTGTAAGTACCTGTTCGGGTTGTCTTGTACGGCAGAGGACATGCGGGCAGAACTGCCGCAGCCCACGGACGAAAAGATAGGAGACAGGGATGGATGGCCAGGTCTCGCAAGTGTGGAATGCCCGCCCGCTAAAGAGGACGCGCCGAAGAGAAGGCGCGGGCGGGCGGCGGGCGAGTGGGAGTGGCAGAAGTGGTTCAGAAACTGGAAGTCTTGGGTGGGCTCAGAGTCATTGAGTGTAAGGTGGTGGTTGTGTCGCGGCTCAGGAACCGGCGCTGCTTGTGCACTGTTGCTGCCGAGACCCCTGACTAGTAGGAAGCATTAGCCGGATGCTGATAGGAAAATACCTCGATGAAACGGGTCAAATCGAATGTGTTGGTGTGAAATGTCTTGAACTGACGTAGCGGGCTACTACGCCACGGGATCAAGCCGTTTCTTTTTGGTCCCCGCTGCGTCAACCGGAGCCCAATTTGCTAGTCAGGAGCTTGGGAAAGTTCCTTCTTTCACTGAAGATCCCGGCGTAAACGGCTGCCTTTACCCGTCGATTCTCTTAATTTCGAAATCCTGTTGGCAATATGGACAAGACGGAGTAGGTATGCAAGTGTACATCAGATACATCCATCGAGTTTATCTCTGCAGCTGGCAACAACTGTGAATACGTACTTAGGTAAGGTACTATTACCTTACTACGTAGTCGTCAACCACGCGGCATAAACCGCCATTTTGTTTCCCACCTCAGGCGCATGCCATTCTCATTTCCAACCCGCACCTGGTCGTTTCCACCCCTGGACCGCATCAACTCACCTCTGGGCCTCATCTCCAACTCTGATTACCTGATATGCAACCAAATCTACAAAGTGCTTTCCGATCTGCGCCGTCTGGTCGTCGTCGTCGTCACCTTGTTGATTAGCGCAGCTTAAGCCCCGAAAGAGTCTTCATGTAGGTCTCGGACATGTGCCAGATGAAATGAACCTGCAAAGATGAGAACAAAGGAAAAGCCCAAGTCTTCTAGGCGTCTTCCATGAACCGGTAGAGCTGAACCCGTCCAGGGAAAGAAGCATTCCATTCCGCACGTCTCCTCATTTCAACAGCTTTCCCCGCCCCCGAAACAAGCCTGGACCGGCGGGAACCCTGAATCTTTGGTCGCTCATTTTTTTTCTCGCAGCTTAAATTACCTTACAGTCCATGTCACGCCGGTAAACTTCTTGAAACATGCAGTCTCTGCCCCCGCTCGATGCAGAATATTCCCGACGTCTCCAAAGTCAACGTTCCAGAGTACCTGCGGTACAGATACACTCCACTTTCTTTTTCTTTTTCATTACAGAGTCCGGACTATTTGCTTTGTTTTTGCTTCCGTAAAGAGGTAAACGAAGACGACGTGAAGGTTGCACACATCGGTGTCATGGCAGCTGTGCGACAACGCCACTGGCTTTCACCTCTGCAGGAGCTTGCAGGCGGCAGTGCGATAAGAGGCGCTAGAGACGCAGGAAGCGGCAACTGGATAATAGCACCAACGACGACGCAGCCCAAGTCGTCACCCAGACGTTGCGCACGGCGACCAGCGGCGGCTGCGCGCTATCTCGATCGACTTGCAGCTTGAGAGAGAGAGAGAGAGAAAGAGAAGTGGGAACTTGGAAGCAGACACTAGAGATTGGTGGTTCAGATGGCGGATGGCTTGGGAACACCCGACTACCTACACTAGCGCAAGGGAGGAGGGCGGACAGTTTCGTGTGGCAACCGTTCGTGGTCGTCTTACTGGCCAGTGCTTCTCTGGGTTTCTGGTGTTTCTCCTCCTCACCATTGGTTTATCTTGCGGCACCATAGCTCACTGGCATCTCTTGCTTGCATCGTTTGACCTGGCTGTTTTCTTTCTTGGGCGGCTGCGGCTGGCGGCGTTGGTTCGTTGCCACGTTCACGGTTGACAGTTCCCCAACTGTTTGGGGCGGGATGCAGCGCGACTCGCAGCTGCATTTTGTCAGCGGGGACTTTCAGCTGGCAATTGCCCGCTGAAAACCGGTCCAGTCTCCAGAGTCCAGTGGCGGCTTCCCGGCTTTGCAGCCGCCGGCCGGTCCAAAATAATTACCTTGATGCCGTGGCTGATGCTCTCTCTTGGTTCCCTCTGCACATCCAGCCGCGTTTGCATTCGCGACCACATGTCACGCCCAAGGGGCTTCGGACTTGGCAGCATTCAGCAGAAAGAATCAGTTGTGCCATCCGATTTTGGTACTGCTTCCTATAATGGGCCACCTGGAAACTGCAGGGTTTTTTTTTTCAAGCCTCCAGGGACGAAGGATGTTGCTTCCGAGCCTTCATTCTCCGTGTTTGACTTGATAGCGCCCATCGAGACCCGTTTACTTGACGGATACGTTCCTGGTTGATGTCATGACGGATCTGGTCCCGTCCCGCCTTCATCTGCAATCTCACCGGCTAAGGTAGCGACTACTGCGTACGTGTAGAGACAGATGTCCCACTCGGTGCAGGACCCAGCTGGACAGTGAGATGACTATGCCAAGGACTGAAGCGTCCCCCTAAGTCCACCTTAGCGATTCCTTCTTGGAACAAAATTTTTGACAACGGCCGCGAAGCCAGTCTCTAGCTTGGTGTGCTAGTCTAGATCTAGACAAAAGTTCGGGTCTCGGTATTGTCCGTATACTGCCTCCACATCTGTTCTCATATCACGTTTAACACGACACCTTCGCGATGAATTTGGCACGGTCCGAACTCGCAGTACTGCCTAAGAAGCCTTCGAGAGTCTGGAGCCTCGGCCAGATACCGCCTTAGCCGAAGCGCTACCTGTTTCTAGTATCTC